TGAAAGTCATTTTTTATGTCTTTCCTAATAAAAACAAAACGAGCATATGGATTTCTCCGTTGATTTGAAACCTATTGCGTATGTTAAAATTGCAAGTCGCGTAAAATTAAATGCTTTATACAGTATTGTAGCTACATGCACATAATACGCCGTAACCTTCCCGTCTAACTTTTTCAGGTTTACAGCGCGAGTCCTATCTTTGGTGTAGAATTTGAGACTGAAGAAAGGGTAAATCATGCTTTAGTTACTATTTTGTTTTTGGCATTGCTATTCATGTAAAAAAGTGTTGCTTGTATCATTGTCGTATCATACGCGTATCGTTCTCGTATCATACGCGTATCGTTCTCTTGTCATACCCGTATCATTTTCTTAATATTTTCTTATATGGTTTCAATATAGTTTGGTTTGATCTACCTACACAAATATAAGTATAAAGTTTTCGAAAACTTTGCATTTACTGTTGCAACTGCTTATATCAATGATGGTTTACCTTTAAAACGAAGTTTAGGCCGGTTTTAATATGCATGCAAATGTATAGCTCACAAGCCACAGATTTTAAGCCCCAGTGATTGGTTGATTTCAGTGCAGTTTATGTATAAAATGCACTGTGAAAATGTGCATCGTTGAAGTGTGTAATTGCACTGTAAATACTTATCCTTTGGACTCCCGCTATTTCACTGTTAACTTTAAAAACTCTTTCTTGTATTTCAATCCGTAATTGCACTCGAAACTTTACTGTTACCTTTAGTAAAACATGTTATCTCTAGCAGATATGACATAACTTTAACAAAATTATTGCTAAAAATTTTAAAGAACTACTTAAAACTATGCACACTAATACGATATGATACGAAAAACATACGCGTATGATACGCGTATCGTTCTCGTATCATAGTCGTATCGTTCTCGTATCATACGCCTATCGTTCTCGTATCATACGCGTATGTTTTTCGTATCATACGCGTTTCATACGCGTATCGTATGTTAGCAAATACGCGAGCGGTACTGTAGTTCCTGCTGTGAATTTTTTTATCATTTTTTTTTTGTATTCTGTTGAGAATTGATTTCATTCGCTGTCTTTTCTGTAATTGAACAAAATATTTGCATTGTATAGCAGTAGGAAATACTGGCTTTGCTACTGATTGTCGATGTGGTGTATAACAGCGGTTATGGCTTCTGTAGTTTTAGTGGGTAGCATCTGTGCATGCTTGCATGGTTGACCATTATGTTGTACTGTTAAATTTTTGGTTCAATGCAAAATTAATAAAGTTTGCGGAAGTAAAACTACCGTGTAGCCTTTAAGCTTTGATATGACAAGTTATGCATATACGGATTATTATTGCATTGTTACATTTTTGTTATGATCAAAAATCTACATATGTTCATCAATCTACCTCATTACCTCATTTTTTGCGGCCCATATATCATGCGTTTTCTAAAGTCTAAATGTCATTTTAGAGCAATTCTGCTTAAGAAATAAAAGATGTTTACTGTGTTTGCACAGGCTTATGCAAACCTCGGAGACTTTTGGGAGAATTCGAGAGCAGATCAGTGCAAGCCCGAGACCGAAGGTTGCACATGTTCGAGAGTTCTCACAACCGTCTCCGAGGTTTGCATAAGCCAGTGCAAACACGAAAAACATCTTTTATTTCTTTTATAAAATAGCAATAATGTGAAACAGACAAATATTTTAATTTTGCCTCTAAAATGTATTCATGTTCGATTTGTTAATTCTCTTTGACTGATTGATTGCCTTGATTGATTTGATTGGTTGAGCTCAGATGTGTTTTGCACAAGCTAATGCAAACACAGCTCTAGACTAATCAGCGCACACGTTTCATTGTGTTTATTTTATAAATGTTATTGAAGAGATTACAAAGTATGTTAAGTGACTTTTATGGTTACGCTAACATTTATTTGCCGTGATACTGTTTTTCAGCCAACGACCTTGCAGGAAGCCACTGTTGAGCCCATTCACGATGATATTGAAATAACTAACGATGGTGAAGAAACTGATGCATTTGCGGTACAATATTTTCATTTTTTTCTTTTCACGACTATTGCATTGTTTAACAATATGCTTTGGCACTCTGTAAAGTTTGCTTTCGTTCGATGATGGTTATATTATCCAATGTAAGGTAGCTAGCTAAGTGGCGGATTACTAATTACGGGCCTGTAGACTAAGACAAAGTTAAGGACCTTTCAGCGATACGTGATCCTCCCAATAAGTTCAGTTTTCCTTTGCTTAGCATTTGCTGTTAGTAACTTCATAGTGTAAAAAATGGGAAAAGTTCTTTTTAAACTTGAAACGTAATTTTAAAAATCATTGGCATGGTCAGGGAAATAGAAAAAGTTAATATTTATGAGTTCTGAGCATTTAACATTTGAAAAGTAGATCGCACGAAAGTCATTTTTCCTCTGCGTTCAATTGCTCGTAAAGATTCAACAGCTAGCGTAGATTATCTAAGTTAAGCACATTTAGCTAGCTCGGAAAGCAAAAACGTTCAAATCCTAATTGTGTCCAGATGCAGCGGACCTTTCGAAAGCCCGGACCTGTAGGTTTAAGCCTACTTCGCCTACTGGAAAGTCCGTCCCTGAGCTAGCTAACACATTCCATGTTTGTGAGATGTGTATATTCATTGCTAAAGTCGTTTTTCAATTTACGACCAAGTGTCTTTATTGATTATCAGTCTTCATCGTCTCTGCTTCAAAACCCACTTTTTTTAAAAATCTCAAACATTTTACGAATAAACATTGAGTGAATACAGTTGTTAGAGAATGGAAATTAGCAAACAATAATAATTCAAACAGTCTTACGTTGGTACCTTTCAAATTCTGAATGTACGTATGAAAAAGTAAAAAATGTGCATCCGAAGGTAAAAGGGATGGAAATGATGCTAATTATGGATGTCGTATTAATAATTGTATATTTGTTGACTTTTAGGCGTACTTTGCTGATGGCCATAAAGTAAGTAAAATAAATATTTCTTTATGATGTATAGTTTTGACCGAGATGATTTTATTTTAATTGATAATTTATTTTCATTTTTTTTACGTTTAATACATTTCATCGAGTAAGTATACAAAATTTTGCTGTCATGATGCAAACAGCTTTCTGGATGTCCTTAAATATCCTTGAATGCTCTTGAATTTAAAATAAATAGTTAAAGGCCTAAAAATTCGTTGGATTCCTATAAAGATGTGCTCGACAGTCCTTGATTCCTAATTTTCTTGATCAATTTTTCTAAACATGTCGACTGTTTTTCCTAATAAGATTAACGTACAAGTCACATGCCTCTCCATCCAAATTTGTCCAACTGCATGCTCTTCCCCTCGATTTCTTTGAATAATATTATTGTATACGATCGTTGACCCTCCTTATGTCTATGTTTCATTGGTCAAAAGCATGTCTCCCGATGCTGAGGTGATATATTAACTCTTTTTTTTCTGTAATTGCGTCAGAGAGGGAAGAGTATTGTAGTACATTTATTGACGGTGAAAGGAAAGACAAAAAATGGCTTATTCTCCTCACCTGTTTTAAAGTTATGCGACGATTTTTTTTCTTTTTGTCACATTGTTATTCGTATTATTTTTGGCGACTGGTGTGTAAAAAACACCTATATATACTTCATGAAATTTTCAGGCCGAGTCTGATCTGTGGCACTTTGTAATCAAATGACTTCGTACGTATTTACATCGCTTGGGATCAATGAAATATCTCCTTCTGAAATAGTATTGCAGCACTTTGAGTTTTTAACTATTTTGTTGGAAATGAAAGCATTGTCGTATATGATATTTCCTTCTCAAGAAAAATTTAATATAAATTTTTGTAAGGAAAATCAATTGGAAAATCATTGTATACTGCTTCAGATGCAGATTCATAAGAACTGTGTTTTATAGAATATGTGTATGTGGAAGGTTTTGTTACAGTAGTTGAAAGAAGGGTTTTGGTTTATTTAGTCTACAGATCGAGAACCCGTGTTCAATCCCGAGCTTGGCTTGGCAATAGAGAAGCTAAAAGATGGGTTTACACTTCAAGGGCTTTGGGAGGTGATGCCTAACTGATGGTAATATTTTATGTTATCATGTTCTAAGTACTTCTTTTAAATTCTGTAAATAAAGCGAACATGTAATATTACAAATCATAGACATTTCATCATTTACGTTTGCTTCAAAAAATTTAATTAATGCTCGATTACTCAGATATAAGGCCGACGTCGGCTTGGTAAAATTTAAAGTCAACTTTTCAATATATTTGACTGGCTTCCTGAAAAGTATGTCAAAAAATGAAACTCGCGTTTTACAAACGATTAGTTTTCCCTGAAATATGATCTAAGCTAAAAAGAAAAAGCTCAGGATTACAAATGCTACAATTTGAATTTTTCAATGACAGACACGAAGTTAGGGATATAATAAGTAAGAAGACAGAGTTTTGCTTCAATAGTTTTTTTTAACTACATAATGTTATACTTAAACCATGCATGTATTGATTGGACTAGAATAAGCCACTGAAAGACGAAAAAACTCCTCAAAAGCGATCACTTCAACCATTGCCTGAAAAATTAAAAAATGACTTTAGTGGTTAGAACTTAATTTGAATTTGAAGGCATTTCTCCAGTTTTAATGTCAACCGTTGTCAGTTGTTATTTGGCAGTAATAGAAAAGCAATCATTTACAGAACCTTTTCTCGTGGAAATCGACCTATTTTATTTTTTGCTACCTGTGGGTTATTTGAAATAAATTGATAAAAAATTATTTAATCTTTTTAAGCTCGGGATCTATTGGTAAAAAATTACTTAATGAAGCACAATGAGATTATTTGTTCACGACCGCCACGACTCAAAATAAACAACTGTTTTTTTCGGTTTCCCTGATTGTAGCTATTATAAATGCACATCAAACTTCCTAAATTTATTTGCATCAAATTCTATTTATAGTTTTACATTGCCAATTCTTTGACTTTCACTCATCTTACATGCATGATAATAACCATTTAAAACTTTACCTAAGCTCGTCATCGCACAAAAATAGCCAAAACATCGGAATCTCCAGAGAAAGATTCTATATAAACATAATAGCAAAGATATGCTGAAATTTGCTCCATTTTATTTTTCAATTGAATAACTAAGGCCTATATCAAACGTTAAACTTTACATGCACAGAACGCATTAGTATATTTAGTGTAGGTAATAGCCTGGTTTCTAGTGCAATTTGGGAAAAACATGCACGAGTGAGTTTTTCAAAGACTGTCAAAAATGCTCGAGCACGAGACTTATTAATAATATACACGAAAAAATTTCTCGATTCTGTTGATTTTTAACTGCATTTTAAACGTAAAAACAAAATGTACTTAAAACTTACGCCAGCCATTGTACGCATTTGAATGTTTTATTTTAATTGGCTCTTAGATCACTTCTTTTTCTGATAAACCAATCAGGAGTGCATTTTTCAAAAATAAATTGCACTGGTGTTTCGCTTTTTTGCACCGAGGTTTCACACTTTTGCACCGGTGTTTCGTATTTTTGCACTGGTATTTACGATAAAGTGCACTGCTATTAACCAATCAGAATTGAGGAATTTTATTCATGTGTGTTATTAAAGACAAAACAAAATTAGATGAACTTCCTCATTAACTTTTTTTAAATGCGTTTGGCTCATGTAAAGTTCGAGGTTTGAACTAGGCCTAAGATCGCGTAGGCTTCGAAATTTGGCACTTATAAAGACATAAAAGGACAAGTAAAATTTAAAATGTTAAACACTTTTAAAAACGTTTTTGTCTTAAAAAAGGCAAATGTGGATTATGAAATTTATGATCATGTTTTTTCATAGTATGAATCAATATTTAGTCGTTCAACATGATATCTTGGTTAAGTAGCTATAATTTGAGGGGATTTGTCATTCAAATCTTGTACGCCTGGTTAGTAAAATTTCGAAAATGTTGTTTGACGTTTTGTGATCATCGATCATGCCTTCATTTCTCAAACATCTAACTTTATTATTTCCACATCCACTGCACAGTAATGATCAATGAAATATTCTTTTACGACTTACTGTATTCATTGTAATTCTGATGTCGCCCAACCATGCTGTAAATAAATGATGTTCCTGGAAATCGTTTCTCCCAGGGGCATTCTATAGTGTTTCCAATGCTTAACCATCCATCATCCTTAGGACAACCATTATAGTTGTGATTTATATGAAAATCACGACATCTACCTTTCGAGCAAGGACCTTCTATTGTAAAGTAGTTAAAGGTAGACGATGTTATATCATGCCATGGGGATTCCACGAGGTTAAGTTGTGTAAACCAGTCGATGTAGCTGCAATTCGGGCATTTGAACTTAAGGACCAACTGTTCCAAGCCGTTTTTGTACAACACAAAACGTACCTTAATTAAAATATTTACGAGAGTTCTAAATTTGTTACTCGCAGCTTAGGTAAATTTAGGGAGCTTTAGCGAAGACTACAAATACAACTACGAGTAAGAAGTATGTTATTTTTGCGCGAAAACATTTTTGTGACAACCATAAACATTATAAATAATGCTAGAAATGGCATCGTAATATAATCTATAGTCCAAAATATGGTATGTGTTTTTTGTGGGCAAAATCGATTCCGGATTGAAAACTTGAATTGATTGTGTTGCTTTTATACTCATTTAGTAAATTATAAGTCCGTGAGTCATTGCTCGATAAAAAGACCTTTCTCGTCTTTAATTCAAGTTCTAACAGACTTCAAAAAAACATTTATTTGTCATCCATAGCGGAAAAAATGTTAAAAATGGTGAAACTATGTGAATACGTGGGTTGAAAAAAAGAAACGAACAACATAAGTTTTCATTGCTTATACATTAATTGAAACATACTAAGTATTCAGAGATTATAAACAACATATAATCGTAACAGCTCGCTAAAAACAATTACTAACGCTTAAAATTGACAAATTTTCTTGAATCTCGTACAATAGAGCAAAAAACGTACTATGCAGTATATCAAAAAAGAATCCAAAACTTGAAAGCAGACGGCAAACGAATATTTGTTTACTTCGTGTTTAAATAAGCGATGCATCTGGGACCTAAATTCCCCAACTCTCGCGTTCCCTAAATTCGTCATCAATGCCACCTCTAGTTTTATTTATAATCTCTGTCGCGACTACAATGTCTTCTTAGAAAAAGAAAGTAGGTATGATTTTTTATTGTTGAGGAAATAAGTCGACAGTGCTATTTTCAACCACCAGGCTTTACTTCAGAAAATTTTTTGAGCGCAGATTAAAACAAAAACATGACCTGCAAAACTTCCAAGTATTTCATACGCTAAGTGAAAGGTAAACAAACAATAAAATAGTACAAATATATCGTACGTAAAATAAAATAGTGAATATTTTTCAGTCTAAAGGGCCGTAGCTTCATCGCAAAATTTGGTGTTTTTCACAATAAAAAGGCCCTGGATAGCGTTATCCACTGGATAGCAATTTTTTATACTTTTATAAAACCTTATAAAAAGCAAAAAGTATTAGATTAGAACTGAGCAATCACTGAAATAAAATATTGTTTCAAAGATTACGAAATTTCTCTGTCGTATGAAAAATATAAACACCTTTTTTATAAGTTGGAAATTTTTTGTATCCAATGGATAACGCTACCCAGGCTTCGTGTAACCGGCCCTGGTGTTTGCAACTAAAGCAAAAATGCAAAATTTTGACGAAGCAACTGCCTCGTGCCATTCCCTTACACTGTCAAACTTTGTACTCGTTGCATTAGTTGTTGTCATAGTCGTACTCTTGCTAAAGCTCTCTATTTCTATGGACTGCACCGTCACTGACGACGATAAACATGTTCTACTTCTACATCCCATCAATTGCTTATGCATTGTTCTTGCTTGTAATCGCTTGTCATTTTTATATTCTTACTTTAATTATAAATTTTACCCAGATTTTACCTCACTCGACACTACTTTGTTCCAATTTGTTGGATCGACAAGACGATTTTTATAAAGTCCCGCAAATGATTTAAATTTGTTGAGAGCTTCTAAACTTGATTCATGTTAAGGTAATTTCTGCTTCCAAAATTTACCAATACTTGTTAATTGGTTGCCTCCAGAAACAACCTTGAAAGCCATTGTAAATCCTGCAGAATACATGATTACTTGACAGGTCTTCCGACGATAGCTGAGTTAAAACTGCTGAAGATGAGGTGATACAAGAGCTTGGATAGCGGACAATCGAGGTTTTACAATTGTAAGGTCTTACAATTGTAAAAGCCTCAAATTAGCTTAGTATGAGTAAGTTCTGCTCATTCGCATTCTACAAAAAGTCAACCACTTTCGGATTTTTTACAAACAAAAACCTTTTAAAAACACTTTATAAGGCTAATACCATCATTACAATTGATTTCTCCACTTGAAAGGGCGTCCAGTTTATGTAATGAAAGAATGTATGTCAACCGAGATGCATTGCGCGCAAATCACGGTAGGTGTGACGGCCATTTTGTTGCCATTGTAATTGTTCGACGCCGGTAAGTATGTATTCATTATGTAGTCAATGTAGGCGTTTATTTTTAAATGTACCTAACACATTGTTTTTAAGTAACTTATGATTTGAAAAGATTTTTTGCGTAAACGGGGAAGGCCAATTGCCATTGGATTAACTTGTGCTTTGTGACTTTTCAAGAAAATTACTTTAAGATATAAACATAAACTAAAGCGCAAAGTGCATCTTGGTTGACTCACGTGCTTTAATTAATTCAAGCAAGATTAAACTTTCTTTAAATGAAGATATGATCTTCACACTTTTGCTGGACAATTTAAGCAATTGTCTCATGAACCTGAAAAATTCAGGTGACTCAACAGGATGATCCCTGAATTTTTTAGGTTCATGAGACAATTGCTTAAATTGTCCAGCAAAAGTGCGAAGATCATATCTTCATTTAATTTCAAACACCGCACTGCATAAAACATTCTTCATTAAACTGTCTTGTTACAACTATCATTGCATGTTATTTTAGGCACTTTTTAAAATAAAATAAGTTTGTCACGTGCTCTTTATCACGTGCTCTTAATGCTTTTATCACGTTCATTATGAAGCTTGCATTAAAGTTTCAGTTTGAAATTGCTTACCTCCTGATTTCATGTCACAAAACACTGGAAATGCGTTTTCTCTATTTCCTAGAAAAATGAACAAAATCTTGAAAAATTTGTCATTGACTCTGCGTGAACTACATCATGAACAGAATGTTATAAGCCCTTATCAACGAAGCTCGGGGTCTTTACGGAGAAATATAGGACCGAATTTTTTGTGCAGACCGAGCTCGTTGGGCAAGGTTGTACTAAAATAGAGCTCCGAGATTTCTCAGTAATGACTGAAAAAGTGAAGTTAATAAAAGGTGTATTATATGGCATTATTTGACAAGAAACGAAGCTTTCCTTCTTTATTGTCCTCGCTGTTGTGCAAGGACTGGCTTTCACTTCACTAGTTTTTGTCGGTAAAAAATAAATTGTTTGAAATTGTGTCATCTGAACAATAAACCCACTTTGCAAGTACTCTATTTTTGACTCACATTCGTAGCTATATGGTTTTTCTTTCGTTTTTTTTTTACATTGGCCGTTTTTATTCTTTAGACAGATAATACATCTGGTTGACTTAAACTAAACGGCAAAATCAACTGGTCGAGACGAGTTGACAACTTTAAATCCTCTCAAGACGAATTAAAAGCTAAAGTCGTCTTGACAGTTAATTCGTCCAATAGCCGTCTTTATCCTTCCGACGATTTAAGAGACGCATTAAAAAAATTCGCTATAAGTCGTCCAGACGTACTATCTGTCTTAAACATAAAAACGGCATTTGTAAAATTAGCGACATGTGATAGACCGTCTCCGTTGCGGGAAAATAATGGACCTGCAAAAAGTTTCTGTGCCTATTATAGAGCACCATTTCACCAGAAGTGACGCTTGCCGTATAATAAAAGCTAATTAATCTAACGTGTGAGCTTGTACGAAATATTACAAAAAATTATCAATCTCTTTTCCTGAAACCCAAGCACTAGTAATGTTAAAATTACCTGGACAGCGTAGTATCGTGATATATAACGTAATATAAAAATGTCATTGAAATGTTTGTTGAAATAACCACACGAAACTTGCAAAATCTCGTATATGCTGTATCCTTCAAAGTATTCTATACCTTTAATGCGTTTCGTACGAGTGAGAATTAGTTTTCAATTGATTTTTATTGATGCATGCGAAGTAGTTAAGGTGCAGGTATGGTCCCGGAAGTAAACGGAGCTCTTACCCGTGTCAATTAGTTTCCAGTCCTAGGAAGTAAACAGGGCGCGCGCGTGTAAACCGGAAACGAACTTAACGGGGGAATGTTGAATGTGATAGGTTATCATAATAAAGGGAAATGAAACAATTGACAAGAAATATTATCTAATTTATTAAAGCATCCAATAAAATGTCTTAAAGCCCTCATTGTGTATTTCATTACGCGACTCACTATATAGTCGAACTATCGTCTTAAAAAAAATGTTATTTGCGTTGTTCATTATTGCATTGCTTTTGGACGTTTTGAAAAAAGACAAAAAATATGGCACACATGTTTAATCAGATATATGCAGACACTGTTGAGTTTGAAGAAGTTAGTCACAGCGATCTTATCAATTTGATTTTCGTCGATTTTATAAGTAAAAAGATTCAAGAGCTACGAAGAGCTGAAAAGGATGAAAGTAAAGCAGATCCTTGGGTAGAGTATCAAAACGTTTTAGAAATGATGACTGAGGAAGATCGTTGGTTCAATTTTGCAGCTCGAGCAGTCGAAACAATTAATCGCGAACATGTCTGGAATGGAATATGTGAAGCCTTTAAGTTTCTAAAGAACTGTGGACCTTCGAACTCTCACAAGACATATTTTGACAAACTGTTTAGTGCTACTTGGGTAGAACTAATGTTAATTTACACGGAGACAAAACGTCCTCCTTTTTTTCAACATCTCTTTGACTATGCTGATTGTAGTTGTAAACTGAAATACAAATCAACTATGTAATTGCTTTGACAAAAGAAAAAATAAAATATAAATTTCAATGTTATTGCATTTTGACTTCAGTTGTTTTATGACCATGTCATTGTGAAAATGGGAATCGGTAGCAGCAAACGTGAAAATAGAAATGCAAAAGGGATAAAAATCATAATCGTCAGAAAATGTTTCGCTTGGGTATAAGTTTCGGACGCAACGATCTCAATCTTGAGGGTCATTTGCAAGCAGGATACACAAGTAAAACTGTTAAAAATTATGGACCCGCCGCAATAAACTTCCAACAGATAATGCGATAGAAGAAACACTGCCTGTAACTGAAAACATTGAACCCATCGATAATGAGTAGTTAAAAGAAATTGACATCTAATTGCAAAATTATTATCACGAGAACATTGTCATGAGTAACGTTGACCAGTACTTAGCCGGTGTATACTTCAATCCAAAACGTCCTGGAAGCTACGGAGGTGTTGAACGTTTGTACCGCGATGTAAAGGCAGAAGGAATATATGACATTAGTCGTGAAAGAATTAAAGAATGGCTCATGCAACAAGACGCATACTCTTTGCATAAACCTATTCGAAGAAAGTTTGAAAGAAATCGTGTCGTAGTGAGTGGTATTGACGACCAGTGGCAATTGGATCTTGCAGACATGCAATCTTTGCAAAAGTATAATGATGGTTATCGCTATCTTCTTATCTGTATTGATGTTTTTTCCAAATATGCATGGGCTGTTCCATTAAAAAAGAAAACAGGATCGTCGTTGGTAGAAGCTTTTAAAAGATTTTGTCATCAGGGCGTAAACCGACACACATTCAAACGGATCAAGGCTCGGAGTTTTTAATCGAGACTTTAAGAAACTTTGGCAGAAGAAAACGTTACCTTATTTAATACATTTAACGAGACGAAGGCATCCATCGTTGAACGTTTGATACGTACACTGAAAACTAAAATGTGGCGCTACTTCACAGCAAACAAAACCATGAGATACATTGACATGCTTCCTGATCTACTGTATTCTTATAATCATAGCATGCATCGCAGCATTAAGGAAAACCGATCAACGTTACAAGTGAAAATGAAGATAGAATTCGGCAAAATCTATATGGGATAGCAAATTAAATAAACCTATGCATGTAAAATATAAGTTTGATATAGGTAACCAAGTACGAATAAGTAAAATAAAACGAAGGTTTGAGAAGGGGTATTTACCGAATTTTTCAAAAGAAATTTTCACTGTAAGTCAAAAAATACCGCGCAATCCTCCTGTATACAGACTGAAAGATCATGAAGGGGACGAACTTCAAGGAACATTTTATGAAAAAGAACTTCAAAAGTCATCAAGAAAGACGATGTTTATGAGATTGAAAAATACTTAAGAAACGTGGTAGAGGGGCAATGTACAATATTTTGTAAAGTGGTCTGGCTACCCTAACAAATTTAATTCATGGGTACCAGCATCGGAAATACATATATAAAACGTAACCGTTTTCATGATTTTTTCATTTCACATTATACCTTAAAGATGAGCGGGACACACTTCTATCTGACATTACCTAGTAATGCATCTCTCTCTGTATTTCCTGAGAATAAGATTTCAGGTTATCGCGTAAAACTACCTCACGTTGTGAATTTAAATGGTAATTGGGAAGTAGGATTGTATTCAATTACATATCCTCATACATGGTACACGTTGAAAAAAGGTTTGGATACACATATATATGTAACTCACAAAACAGGTCTACCTACTCCGGTATTTGTCGACTATGGCTTGTATGAAAAGCCTTCGACCTAGTAAAATCAGTTAACGAGACTCTTGACAAAGAAGTAAAAGACAATATCAAATTGAGCTTTGACCCCGAACAGAAAAATCAAAGTGCATGTAAGACAGGGTTACAAAATATCATTTAATCAACGAATGTCGGTCTTACTCGGTTTTGGCGGAAAAGACGTAGAGATTTTAAAAACAACCGAAAGTCCTTATGCTTGTGATTTGCACGGATCCGTCATGATGTATGTATATTGCAACATTGTACAACCGCAAGTTGTTGGAGACGTCAATGTAAAATTACTAAAGGCAGTTGCTATTCAAGGAAAATATGGAGACATTGTTTCAAGAACATTCACTAATATCCAATACTTACCCGTGCAAACAAAATCTTTGAGGACATCGAAATTCTCTTAAGGGACGAGTTAGGAAATCCCATCGCATTTGAACGAGGGAAGTCGATAGTGACACTTCATTTCAGAAAACAATCCTTATCTTATTTTACATAAGAAAAAAAATATGAGTAGAACAAACCGTTATGTTCAATATTATCTCAATCAGCAAAAAGGATACGGATCACAACCTGTCTTTAGAGGAGCATCCTGGCAAAAAGGTTATGGGCAGATGGGTTATGGTCTTGGTGGTTTATTTCGTAGATTGGCTAGAGCTGCAATACCTTTGGCAAAAACCGGCGCAAAGCTCTAGGTAAATTGTTCTCGATACAGGTGCAAACGTTTTGGGTGATGTTATCTCAGGGAAAGTTTTAAAAGTCTGCAAAATCTCGTGTTAATGCAGCAAAAGAAACAGGGAAAAAAGCTGTAAACCGTATGCAACAGTTTCCTCAAACAGTATTAGGAAAACCCCAGAAGAAACAGGAAAAAAACAGCTAAAAGGAGAAAAGCATCGTCTTCTCATGTCATTTACCGTTCGGCCAAGAGACATAAAGCAGCTAAAGAAGCAGAAGATATTTTCGGTTAAATATGGAGTTCGTTCATCCAAAATCAGCAGAATGTACAAAAGTGAACTTGATATATTTTTCGTACCCCCAACGCAAACCAGTTTGAAAAGGGCGATGGATAGACCATCCACCTGTCTCTAGTGTATCTGAAAGCGGTCCGATTACCTTTTAGCGCCAGGTACAGAAGATTATGTTGACTTGTCTAACACAATGCTGATGGTCAAGCAA